CCTTGTCCATAGATTTGTTAGCACCCACTTCCTTTCCCCCGCCTCCCCCTCTCTCCTGTCCCCCCGGAGCCATTGGTCCCATTGTTTTCTTCTCTGGATTGTTTATATCTCTGTTCTTTTTTTATTGCTCTTTGGAATCTATAATTTTAATTTTCCTAGCTTCAAACTCATCAGTGTTTTACCTGTCCAAATGTGATGTTGAAGTGAATATTTTTATTTTAGTTATTGGACCTTTTAGCTCCTGAATTTGTTTGGTTTCTTTTGTAATGTCTATCTCTATATTGATATTTTCTTTATATTATTATTTTGATTTTACTGATTTCCATTAGTCTTATGTGTTTCCTTGATGGCAATTCAATTACATGTAAAGTAGTACAGTGTAACATGGTACTCTGGAAAACCTAAGGATTCATGTGTTTTAAAGGTTGTTTTAAGTCTTGCTCTTTTCTGTTAATCTTTTTTCCCTATTTTTTCCTTTTATGTTTTAGATTAACAACGTTCTTATGTGCACTCTCTTGTAGGAGTGAAAATGTACTTTCACGGTGTAAGTGGTAACTATGTATAGGATATTCTGGTGGACACTTGGTACCGACTTGTCAAAATATTTATGTAGATGAATGACAGTCATCTAATCAAGTTGAATGAGTTTTCTTTCCCTTTAAGACAGGGAGCATTTACAGTTTTCCTACTTCCTTTCCCCTGGCATATTCATAGAACAGACGCAGCGCTGAAACAATATTTAATCCATTCACATATGATTAGATGCTAAAATGAACACAGAAATCCCTGCATTAGCATTTCTAATCTGAAAGGCTTGACTGCCACAGGCAGACAATAACTTTGAGACATGGGCACTAGAGATGAGAGAGGTTGAATAGAACGGCTTTTCTTTTGGTACCTTTTAATATTTTAATTACGTAGTAATTTGTCTTGTCTTATTTTGCATGTAGGGAATTCCTAATGAAAGCTGGAGAATAACGAAGATAAATGAACGGTATGAGCTGTGTGATACCTACCCCGCCCTCTTGGTTGTGCCAGCAAACATTCCTGACGAAGAATTAAAGAGAGTAGCATCCTTCAGATCAAGGGGCCGTATCCCAGT